AGGATATGTAAAGAAATGTCAGAGGATTTCGATATAAGCCAAGAGGAGACTGGTTTTCCTTTGCTGTAACACAACTTGTTTCTCGCAAGACTAGCATATTCTCACCGGAGCTTATGCTACGCCTAAGTCTTACGTCATCCGCTGGACGCCACTCTCTCGTTAGCGTACGTACGACAGTTAGCGGAAGCTAGAGATTAAGGTTTATTAAGTTGTAAATATGGATATTTTTCTTACACAAACGCATCGGGTTGCTTCAGAAGGCCTTTATTAACCCCCCGGTGCCTTGTGGACTTCTTTTATAATGGATGGGTGCAATTTCTTTGGACTTCAAATTTTGGGCTACCATCACTCCCATTATAAAGCATGGATTGGCCTGGACATTATTTAATACAACTCAGATTGTATTCGTCTGAAAGAAGAATGTCATATACACCTAGGATGGCTTGAGGGTGAGTAAATCATAAGGTAATTTTCATTTTTGGGTGAACTATCCCTTTAATGCATCCTTGCTGAATAAACCTATTAATTTCTTTAAAAAAATATTATATATATAATTTAGTTTTGTTGAAAATAAAAATGACCGAGCAGCGTAAAGCAAGATGAATGAATAATGATTATTTTGTAGCACAGCCTCTTCATGTTAGGTTTGTCTTGAAGGGTTTATACGTTATCGCTAAAAATAAATTTCTCTATTAGGTTTTTACTCCTGGAAGCCGGCGGTTGCGCTCTATTAAACGCAGCAGCTAATGATTCAGTCTGACCCTCGTCAGGTTCTCAGAGTGATTCTTGTTTTTCTTGCTTTTTTTAAACCGTGACTCTGCTCTCTTCGGCTTTGAAGGCTGGCCTCTTCTGCAGCGGTTATGAGTCAAAGCGGGATGAATCACTCTCAGCCTGACATTCGTTTAGCTCAGACAGATCTCCGTTTGGTGGGTAACACCGGACTGAACCCTTCAGTAAACTTCTGCTGTCTCGTTACTAGAATCTTGTTAGACTGAAGCCAGACAGCTTGTGTTTTGACTCATTGGTTTGTCATCTTAAAAGCGAAGCATGTCATTTCTGCTATATAGTATCAAATGGAATAGAAAAAATAATGATGGTTTACCAAAAACTTTGTTCGGACAAACAGGTAGTCCTGCTTCAGACTTAGACCAGTGGTTGAACCAGAACATGTTAGACTGTTTAATCAAACACACAGTGTAATAGTTGATCATCATAGCTTTGAATTTTGAGTTTTTATTGACGTTTTATTTTAAATTAGCAGTGAATCTTTTCTGTTTCTGTTGATCTATTTTTTTTGTTTTTTTCTTTCCCACTTATTCTTTTTTTTGTTTTTATTGCTTACTTTTTATTGTTGTTTTTATTTTGTATCCGTTTATTACTCTCATTACTTTTTGATCTTTTTATGTAAAGTGATTTGAATTACCATCGTAAATGAAGTGTACTATATAAATGAACTTGTCTAGCCTTTTTAAATTTAAATGAGCTTTTATTACTTCTCGCTGTTTAACCGTTTAAATCAACAGTTGACATTTACCTAACATTTTATCCAAATTTGCTTGGCCTGTGTTGATATTCCTAGTCTTTTTATTATGGGTTAAAAATGTTTTTTTTAATAAAATTATAATCTTTATAATTTAAATATGAATTATTTTTATATCAGTTAATGAAAAGTTTTCATTATTTACTGTACATTAATGAGGAAAAAAATTAACTTAAATGATTTTAGCAAATGGCTGCAATATAACAAAGAGTGAAAAATTTAAAGGGGTCTGAATACTTTCCGTACCCACTGTATGTATATATATATATATATATATGTGTGTGTGTGTGTGTGTGTGTGTGTGTGTGTATACACACACATTATTCTCTTGCTTTACAGTAGATTGTTTGTTTCGGAATTGAGTATATAGTTGGAAATAGTATTGGACATGGAGGAAAGGTTCACCCAAAAATAAAAATGTGCATAAAAGGTCCTCGCCCTCAGGAGTCTCTTTCGTCATCTGAACTTATTTGGGGAAATTTAGCATTGCATCACAAAGCAGTATGATGGATTATGGACTCGTATTTTGGCCAGAAGTGACGGTTTAAAATGAAAACATTTAGATGGATTTGTTTTGAACAAACACAAAGCTTTTCAATTCTCAAGATGTTAACTGATGAACTGTAGTTGTGTGGATGATTATTGCGTTTTTATCAGCTGTTTGGACTCTCATTCTGACGGCACCCATTCACTGCAGAGGATCTATTGCTGAGCAATGCTACATGATGTAATGCTACATTTGATGGCATGGTGACAGATGATATGCAAATCTGTCATGCATATTCAACAGTCTGTTTGTATCAAGGTATTGATTTAGTTTTGAGGTACCAGTTGCATGCATCACTTTTAATGATTGAATGATGAAATCCCAGGCCAGTCTAGCCTCTGCCCATTACTGAATGTAAGAGATTAGACACATCCACAAAAACAGAAGCATGTGTGGCCAGATGTAACTGTGTGGGCCTTGAGGTTCAGTTTAATACAACTCTTCAAGTTCAAGTTCAAGTCTGCTTTATTGTCAATTCTTCCACATGTACAGCACATACACACAGAGAATTGAAATTGCGTTACTCTCAGACCCTTGGGTGTATACAGATAACATAAATACAGATTAAATACAAAATACAACTATACAAATATACAAATAAGGTAAAATGTAAAAAAAAAAAAAATATATATATATATATATATTTACTTGTATGTGGACTGAAGTGACTCATGGGTAAAACATCCTATTTCTGAGGGTGGCAACATTTGATTCATTGAGCATCACCATCACTTCTGTTTATTGTGTTTTCTTTCCCCATCCTCCTCCACAAAGTTGCTGAACTCCAATGTTTTTCTTCTCACAAGGCCCACGAGTGGAAGTAGTGTGTGATGAGTCTGCTGGTGCGCCCTGGGCATCTCACAGTCAGGGAATCATTAACTGCAATCACTGTCGAAATCAGTCATGAAGTTGGTATTACATTTTCAGCATCTCTCTGTAGGCACCAGGGCTCCGTCTGTTGAGAGCCATGGCTTTGTCTTTGCCACATGCACAAGGCCTTCAGACCTCATCTCTTTACCATTTTCTGCTGAAACTCAGAACTGGCCAACCTTTTTTACAAGTCTTATTCATTGTTTTGAGAAGTTACTGTACAATTGAATGTAATTTGATTCAGCATCTTTATGCCATTACAAGGTAGCTTTGAAAATATATTGTTATATTTGAAAATGGTTTTTATATATTTTTTTATTTATATTAATTTTTATATTAAGTAAAAAAAAATGTATTTGTTATTAAAACCATTATATTGTTTTGTTTTGTTTTGTAGTAATAATAATAATTATTATTATTATTTTGTTGTCATATGTAATTACAAAATTTTGGACAAATTGTACAGCCCTACAACAACACGGCAAACCTTGACATTTTATGTTACATTTTAAATCCCAGTCAAAATTTTACAAGAAAAATAACAATCACTTTAAAACTCATTCAGTTATTATTTAAATAATAATAATAATAATAATTATTATTATTAATTATAATATTTATTATATTACATAATATTTGTATATATAATTTAATATGGTAATAATATTAATTAATATTGTTGTTGTTGTTATTATTAATAATGATAATAAGTTTATACATTTTAAATATTTAACAAATCCAATTATTTGAATATTTAATAGTAAAACATTACAATATACAACATTAGTCAATTCACTTACATTGATATTTATAAATAAAAGACAATTTCAAATAACAATGCAACAAAAATAGAAACGGGATGTCCGTCAGCTGAATGTGTGTTGCATCAGTCGCAAGAAGTGTTGACACATTCATTCATTATATAATGCAGGGCACAAAATTAACTTTTTTTACTTGGTAGAACTGGTGCAAAAATTTAGGAGCACCCACTGAATATTAAGGAGCATCACAACTGCCAATTGAGCGGAAGGGCTGGCAACATCCTGATAATTAAAAGCTTAAACTATTGAACCTGCTCATGAATTCTTTGCCACACACTGCCCGGCATTTCTTGTTAGTGATGCATCAAATCTTTATTCAGATTGCTAATGTTTTAGAAGCGAGTAAGCTGATTCTGATAGCCGATTTTTTAAATATATATATAATTTATTTTTTTTTAAAGCAAGAGATGAGAAAAAATTTAAATATGAGTACATGAACAAGATGTTTATCTGCTGTATTACAGTCTGTATCTGTAGCCATTTTAAATTAGAGACAACCACAGCATTTTAATCATGATTCAAACAAAGATGCTGCATACATGAGCAGTTTCAGATGCAAATTAGAATGTCTAATTTCAAAATCTGAAGCAAAAACAGAATGGTCTGACTTGAGCTTTGTGAAATTATGCTACATAAAACACCTGCATGAAAACAAAAACAGCAGACCGTCTGTTAGCAGATGAAAATGCAAATTCACTCTCTGACAGCAGGTGGCGCTTATGGAACAGCAGCGATACAGCAAATTACATTTTGGAAAATGATTTCGATGTAGTTTGTGCTAGTCCAGAACAGAGATATATCGGCTGAAATAAAACAAAAACCCGGTTGGTTCCGAGTTAGCTTCCTGTCACGTGACATCAGAGTGCAGCGAAAGGAAATGATTGACGGCTAATATAACCTAATCTAAAATACGCATTAAAGTTAAGAATGTAATGATGAAGCTTAATTGGTTATGTAACGAATGGTGGAACGGTCACTGTTTCGGCTCACAGCAGGCACATGCTGTGTAGTAATTCACGAATGTTTTGCAGAGAAATGAAGACAGGTTGCACCACAACAATCATGTGCACTCGCACAAATGCTCCCAAATATATTTTGGGGTCGCACAGATTACTTTTCGGGAGCATATGCGACCAAAACGGTCGCAATTTCGAACCCTGTAATGGGAGTGATTTGGCTTTGAACCATCTAGTATGTAACATTGTTATTCTGTCCCTCTCAGGAGACGTTGGGGCCCAGGCCCTGTTCTCCGTGCCACGGAGGCCCGGCTATGGCACCGTGGGGAAACCCATCAAGCTGCTGGCCAACTGCTTCCAGGTGGAGATCCCCAAGATGGACGTCTACCTGTATGAGGTTGACATAAAGCCTGAGAAGTGTCCACGCCGCGTGAACAGGTAGGCTGTGTGGGAGAATCGCTCAAAGCTGATGACCGACTTATGACAGACTCCTCCTGATGAGCGATGTCTCTGCAGGGAAGTTGTGGACTCCATGGTGAAGCACTTTAAAGTCACCATCTTTGGGGATCGAAGGCCAGTTTATGATGGGAAGAAAAGCCTCTACACCGCCAACCCACTGCCTGTGGCACCCACGGGGGTAAGCGAACAAAAACCATAGTGTGAAGCCCACCTAGCGTCATTTATAGGAGGTTTGCACAGTAAAATCATCATGACATTCAAAAACTTCCTCGATGTTATATAGTCAGCAAAAGCATAGTAGTTTTAAAAATTTTTTTATATGTATAGTTTTTAAGTTTTAGTATATTCAGTTTTAATTCTACTTCAAGTTAAACTAAATGAAAATGAAAAATGTTATATATATAAAATCATTGCATATTTTTTTTTTGGTTAAATTTCATTGGATGTGATCAAATAATTTCACACTGACATACCCATTGCAGTGTTATTTTAGTATTGTTGATGTGTTATAGTTTTTGTTTAGATTTTATTTTTATATTATGGTTTCTATTTTATTTTTTAAGTTTTAGCAATTTTGTTGTGTTTTGTTGTTACTGTTATTACTAAAATATATAAACTTCTATAGTTTTGGTTAAGTTTGTTTGTTTATTTTTAGGTAAAATGAGACATTTCTAGCTGAAATTAAGTTTATATATTTATCTTCCGCCTCCATTCTTATTTTGTGAGAACACCGTAAATGATGGAAAGATTTCATTGATATTTTTTAACTCCGCATGATCAAATTATGTAATATGAGGCCTGTTTTGCAAATCAGCATAGTGGATTGTTGCACTACTTGTTATGTGTCCACAGGTGGATCTGGACGTTACGCTGCCAGGGGAGGGGGGTAAAGACCGACCCTTTAAAGTCTCTATTAAATTTGTGTCCCTGGTGAGCTGGCACCTATTACACGAGGTACTAACGGGTCGCAGTACATCAGAGCCGCTGGAGCTGGACAAGCCAATCAGCACCAACCCAGTTCACGCTGTGGATGTGGTGCTCCGCCATCTACCCTCCATGAAGTGAGTCTCAGATAAACATTAGCTGGTGACCCTGACACTCTTATTGTTCTGCACAATGACCCCAAAACTATTTTGTCACAGTGTGCATATTTCAATGCGTAAGATATCAAAATCTCAAAGCAATTGGCTTGTGGAAACAAATTATGCTTAAAGTCAGAATTAAATGGAGGTTGCAGTCGACTTTGCTGTTAATTAGAGTTGAAAAGTTGGGGATCAGTTTTTATTTTAATTTTTTTTAAAGAAATTAACCTTTTTTTCAGCATTAAATTGTCAAAAAGACATTTATAATGTTACAAAAGATTCTATTCTATTCTATTCTGTAATGTTTCTTGCGCAGCAAATCAGCATATTAGAATTTCTGATGGATCGTGTAACACTGAAGACTGGAGTAATGATGCTGAAAATGCAGCTTTGATCACAGGAATAAATTACATTTGACTATATATTCACATACAGATACAAATTTTAAATTGTAATAATATTTCATGATTTTACCGTTTTTCCTGTATTTTTGAACTGAAAAATGAACTAAAACTTTTTATTTTTTAAAATAAATGAATAAATACACCAGTAATCATTTCATAGTAACATGCATTAAGATTTTTGTTTTGTTTTGGCTTATTTGATTTTTTTAGTTTTCAGTTTTAATTTCATTACGCCTTTTAGGTTTTCTTAAAACTAACTTTCCAGCTGGTGGTTTTAGTGGATGCCTGACGTCAGTTCCCCTCAAGTGTCACTGAATCCCTAATAAAATGCAGCATTTTAAACTCCATTTTGGCTGCTGACATCTCTGCTGTCTGTGATTGTTTCTCTCAGGTACACTCCTGTGGGCCGCTCGTTCTTCTCTGCCCCGGAGGGCTACGACCATCCTCTGGGTGGAGGCAGAGAGGTGTGGTTCGGCTTCCACCAGTCTGTTCGGCCGGCCATGTGGAAGATGATGCTCAACATTGACGGTGTGCACTGTTTGAGTTTAGCATGTGTGTTAGCACATAGTGTGGGAACCGCTCACACTGTTGCCGGGGGGATGAAGGGCTGAAAGATGGCGGGTGGGGGTTTGTTTGATTGAAGGGGGCGTTAAATGAGTCTCTCTTTCTTTTTCTCTCTCTGCAAGTTTACCAAGTTTGCGTGTTTTCCCGCTCTCACAGACTCCCACAATTCAATTGGCTGTGTCGGCTGCTCCATCCCCTCCCTACTAAAGGGCAGGGAAAAGTCCAACCGTCTGAAATCGTCTCTCCTTTCACTGGCTCATTGTCACACTTATAATGGAGTGAATGGGCTCAGAAAGAGCGCTAACACACTGGCTTTGAGCTCACGTCAACATTTGTGTAGATGTTTTCTCACAGGACTAATAAAGAGCAACATCTAGATTGGTCCAGATATTTCAGCATGATAAAAGTTTTGTAAAGTCCAATTAGAAATGGGGAGTAAAAGATAAAGATAACCTACAGCTGAGCACCCAGTAAGCAACATTAACTTGTAAAAGTGGACAGTCGTGTGTTGATTGGTTTGTCTTTTAATTTGATGAAGATAGGGCTCTCACGGTTCCTTAAAATCTCAGTTTAATAAAATATAAGGTCATAAAAAAGCTTACATCGCAATATGGCCTAATGTGATTATTAAAATTTAAAAGACAATGATTTAATAAAATAAACTGTCTATATATTCACAATTTATACAGTTTTAAGTCGGCTTATGAATAAGTACATAAGTATTAAATTCAGTTTATTTATACATTCGGTATATAGAGTTTATATTCAATATATAGTCAAAATATAGACTATAATCCATTATATACACAGTTTAAAATAAAACAATTACGTCATTTTTAATTGCAGTTTGAAACATAGATATTTAAAAACCTAGTGTACTTTTTGTATTCTAATAAATTATATTATTCTGATTGTAAATGTTTTCTTGTATCCCTTTATCTTGTGAATTTTCATTGCGCCCCAAATTTTTTTTTCATTTTAGCATATTATGACAATGTTTACATTGGTTTTTATGTTGTAATATGTTGTAGATAGTTGTAAGAGTGCATATTTTATTGTACTTATATATTTTTTGGGAATGAGAATCTAGCATAATTAATTCATAGACATTTCAAAATAAGAGTTCCAGTTGTATTTCAGGCTTGTTTATAATTAAAAGTCCTGCTTTATGCATAATCTTTTTTTATTTTTATAAGTATACGAACAGTATCAGGCATTGAATTTTAACAAACTTGTAGCTTGTCTCTGGGCTGCCCATCACAGGAAGGAAAGACTAAGAACATTATTTAACACATTTATTATATAGATTTTATTAATATCAGCAAATCTTTTTATCACATTATCATCATATCAGCAAAATCCAGCCTCTAATTGTAAATATTGATATATTTGTACGTCCACCAATTTTGATGCATATGTATATAATAAATAAAACATGTTTTGAACTTGAGTATATTAAACTTGAGTTAAACCGTTTTGAAGTTGAATGTGAACCACAGCCTCTTTAAGTAACAGGCTCAAATTTGATTTGTGTAAGTCTTAAAAAAAGGTCTTAAAGTCTTTACATTTTATTTGAAAAACTCTTAAAAAAAATTCTAAGTAGTAAGTGAAATGTACTAACTACTTTCTGAATGGCATATTCAGAATACTACTACTATCTATTCATTTATTTATTTAGAATAAAAATGAATATATGTTTAGGCCGTTTAAATACTTTGAAGTCTTAAAAGGTCTTAAAAAAAATGAGAATTTTGAAAAACTCTGCAGATATCCTCTAGAAAATGGGTTGTTCTTGCCTATGTGAAAATCATTATGCTACATGACTAATAAATGGTCTTTTTTATCAAATAAATTTCCTGCAGAGGAGGTATTAAGAGTCATGATATATTTTCAATGTTATTTTGGACTGTGTTTTCATCAGTTTTCATCTCTTCTGTCTTGCAGTGTCAGCCACAGCTTTCTACAAAGCACAGCCAGTTATTCAGTTCATGTGTGAGGTACTGGACATCCACAACATTGACGAGCAGCCTCGGCCCCTCACAGACTCCCACCGAGTCAAATTCACCAAAGAAATCAAAGGTACGTGTGCATGTGTGTGCGTATGTGTGCTTGTGTGTTTATGCGCATGTGTGCTCATGTGTTTTCATGTGTGTTTATGTGCATGTGTGTTTATGCGCATGTGTGTTTGTGCTCAAGTGTGCTTATGTGTGCTCATGTGTGTTTATGCGCATGTGTTCGTCCCTCTCTCATCGGCTGGTTTGTGTGCAGGTCTGAAGGTGGAGGTGACACACTGCGGAACCATGCGGAGGAAGTACCGGGTCTGCAATGTGACCCGCCGCCCCGCCAGCCACCAAACGTGAGTCAAACCGGAAGTGAAGCGTGTTATGACCTTACATTGGATTGACTGCAGAGGGTGAAGACACATTGCTTTAATACAGTATGATTTTTGGCTTTATTTGAAGGTGCACTCAGTAAGTTTTTAAAATCAAATGTTGTAAATATTGTACACTTGTGAGATGATGCTAGTCATATTAGTGACCTAATAAAAGCCATTATATTTTACATGCAGGTTGCTCCTCACATTACCAACCTATTATCATACGTAGATATATGTTTTATGAATATGTGTTTCTTCAATGGCATTGGTAACCTGAAACTTTTGTGTTTGGGTTAATAATTAAGTGCACCTTTAAAACTATATTTAAAACTATAAAACAATGCTCTGAATAGTATACTATATGCTTTCTGAATGGTATATTGAGAACTGTTTATTTATTAATTCATTTCATATTTTATATTCGTTCATTCATTTGTTAGTTAATTCTGAAAAACATCCTGTGTGTGTTCTTCATTTTGGAGTTTTATAAATCTCATATAATCTGAATTCTGGCTAATTAGCCACGGTTTTACTAGTTATTAAAACTGCAGAAGTTAAAGTGTTAAAGTTTTATTGATTTAAAATATTTGTGTTTTAAAGCTGATTCATTTTGGGTCTAATGGAGTAGTAGACAATGCTTTTTAGTGTTATTTATATACTATTATAGATTATAATATTATATATAGTATTTATATGATGTATTTTGAATTAGCTTATATTAGTTTTCATTTAATTTTTATTTTTAGTCATTTTTGTAAGTAAGTAGTAAGAATATATTCTGAATAGTATACTAACTACTTCCTGAATGGTATATTTAGAATACTATTTATTTATTTATTTGAATAAATAAAAAATAAATGTTTTGAGCCATTTAAAATGGTGTTTAATTGTTTTCATGACTATTAAACAAATTTTTCCTCATAGTTATCATTAAAACACTTTTACTGTTCTTATTATTTAAAATAACGTTTCTTAGTAGTGTAGTACAATAATTTTGCAATTATAACTATAAAAAATAATGTAGTATGTGTAACAATGCATTATGTACTGTAGCTGTAAACATTTCAAACAGTAGTGTTGCATTGTTGTCACATGACTTCATCATGTTTGCATGCAGGATATTTGCATATTTTTCTCAGTATGCATAGCACATACTGCAGAAATAGTGAAAGTAGTATGCTGATATGCTTTCCAAACACAGGAACACCGTTTAGCTCTGCTCTTTGATGCCCTCTAGTGGTGGTTCGTTGTTCAGTCATGTTTCTTGATTCCTTCCAGGTTCCCTTTGCAGTTGGAGAACGGCCAAACTGTAGAACGAACAGTAGCTCAGTATTTCAGAGAAAAGTACAACCTGCAGCTCAAATACCCCCACCTGCCCTGCCTACAGGTGGGCCAGGAGCAGAAACACACCTACCTGCCCCTGGAGGTCAGTGCTGTCACTCACACATTAGATTCTGCTAATATTTTGAATGACCAAAATGAGAAGTGTTGCCTTTGCAACTAGCTGATATAAAAATAAAAGTTTCAATTTCTTTTACTTTATTTCACTTAAGGTTTATTTCAAGTAATTGTTTATGGATTAAGTTAATGAACTGTAGATTTTGTTAATATATTGAATTAGTTTTTATTTTTATATTTTCTGATTTTACCTACATTTTAGTGTATGTATGTTTGTCATTTTTTTGTTTACTTTTAGATCTTTTAGTACTTTGTTAAGCTAAATGAAAATGAGAAGTGTTGCCTTGGCAACTAGCTGAAATAAAATGAAAAAAAAAAGATTTTTTTTTTATGGTTTAAGTGAAAATGTTTTCGGTATTTGTTTTAGTTAAAGTCATTTTCTTGTGTGTTTTTGTCACTTAAAAAAAAAGTTGATTTTATTTCAAGTATTTTTTATGGCCTTAGTTTTAATGCCTATAGTTTTTGTTAAAGGGGTCCTATTATTCTTTTTTACAAAGTCTTGATTTTGTTTTGGGGGTGTACTAGAACATGCTCTCATGCTTGGTGGTTCGAAAAACGCATTATTTTTAATTTATTTTTAAATGATTAAAATACCTTTCTCCTTATCCTGGCACAAACGGCTCAAATAGTTCCGGCTTTGATGAAGGTCCGCCTTCCGAAAAACAAAATGTTTTGTGATTGGTTAGCTGTCCCAGTGCGTTGTGATTGGTGAACAGCTGAGACGGTGTTTCAGTACTGCCACGCCCCCTTGCTCCGTCTTTCAACAAAAGCTTTTTGGCGAATCCGGCACTGTACTCCCTCATGTTGTGGAAGCTGTCCTCAGTAAAATGCGCAGCACACAATAACAAATGCTCAGGAACAGCGTTTAAAAAAATAAATTGCAACCACTGTTTCCTGACATCATCCGCTTTCATAAGCACAAACAAAGACGTTTGGGCACGGAGGTGAAAAAAACTGTGTTTCAGGTGGTCGCAGTGGACTTTGAGATTTGTAACTTTCTAGATCTTTTTTTATGCCCAAACATACACACTACACACTGACTAAAATTAAAAAAGTGAAAAAGCATAATAGGACCCCTTTAATGTATTGAATTCGATTTTGTTTTTATATTTTCTGTTTTTAATTTTAGTAGAAGTTTAAATAATTTTGTTGTATGTATTTCTATTTATAATTTTTATTGGTTTATTTTATATTTTATTTAGTTTTAGTTATTTTGGTATGAATTATTATTTTAGAAGTGTTTCCTTGGCACTAGCTGAAATAAACAAATTATAATTTAAAAAAAAATCTATATACAGTATATATATTATTAGTTCAGTTCTGTTGCCGTTTACTTGCTGCTGTTCTCGCAGGTGTGTAATATTGTAGCAGGGCAGCGGTGCATCAAGAAACTGACAGATAATCAAACCTCCACCATGATCAAAGCCACAGCGCGATCAGCACCAGACAGACAGGAGGAGATCAGCAGACTGGTGAGTGGCATTTATATCTATAGTCACGCACTTAATTTGGTTGCGTAATAATTCGTATCCACAGCATCTATGTATTTAACCCTCTTCTCTCATGTTCCTGCTGTCCGTGCGGTCCATCTGAATGAGTTCAGGTTGCTGTCTGTGTTAATGGAGGTCAGCCATGATGTTGATTAGCTGATTAGCTGTGATCTCTCTACAAGAGCACTTTGTGAACTCTTTACCCCGTTCCCTGCAGATTTACAGTCTTTCCAGCTGTCAGTTCTGAGCTAATAACGCGTGATTGAAGCTCTGCTGCTCTTTATACCTTATTAAAATGACAGCCAATCAGGTGCTGAATCAGTGTTGCCGTGGCTGATTTTTCATTTAGATGCAGAAATCTCTAAACAAGAGTGGAGAGGCTGCGTGGGAGGAATGCAACTGACGAGGCCAATGAAATGCCTCAAAACGAAAAAGTCTCGCTTTGAGACTGAGCTTAAAATACCACGGTGAGAGTATTTTTACACTGTGAAGTACAGCAGGATCTGAGCTGGGATATCTTCAGCTCGCAGCATGAAATGCTTCTGATAAACATCCTGCGTGTTCACTCCATCTCAGGAGAGTTTCTTCATTTCAGTCTCATTTAATCTGAATTCTGGCAGTTTTACCAGTGATCAGGCCTGCAGGAGTTAAAGTGTTAACATATGAGTAGTTTTATTAATTCAAAATATAGGTTTTAAAATGGACTCATTTTAGGACTAATAGACAGCTATTTTAGTATTATTTGTGTAATATTATAGCTATTATTTTTATATTTTAAATTATGTGCTTTTGTAATTTTTATTATATATTTTTTAAATATATGTGCATATTGAATTTAGTTTAGTGATTTTAGTTCTTCAATATTTTTAATTAGCTTTTTTTTAAATATATTTTCAGTTTTCAGTTTAGTTTTAGGTTTGTGTTATTGTCATTTATAATGTTTTAAAAAATATTTCTGTTTAGCTTATTTTTATTTCAGTTTAGTAATTTTACTAGTTCAACTGTAACTTACTTTATTTTAGTTATTTTATTTTAGTGTTTAGTTTAACTGTAATTTAATTTACAGTATTTATTAATATTTTTAATTGGCTTTTATTTGTTATTGTCAGTTTGTCCTTTTGTCATTTTTATTATAATTTTTTAAAAATATTTTCGTTTAGCTTAATTTTTAGTTTCAGTTATAGTTGTAGTACTTCAACCTATTTTATTTTAGTTAGTTGCCCAACGTTTTTTTTTCAGTTTTTATCTAATGTTTATAGTTTATTTAATTAAAATGTATTTTTAATTAACAAAAATTATGTTTTAAATGGTTTTAGTTAACAAGTGTTCATTATAAACCTAATTAATGGTACAAAAATCTGTTTTACCGCTTACTACTTTAGAAATTGCCTTATGAATTTAAACTGACACATGAGCACTGCTTACACTACATGCGTTAATGAGATTTGAAATTAAGTTGCATGTTGTTTTATTTTATTTAGATGCATAAAAACTAAATGCATTAAAAAGAAAACGCTACATATTACAACATATTTAGAGCAATTTAAAAAAACAAAAAACGAATCATGTTCAAAGCCTTTTCACATATTGGCAGCTCTACCACTGACTCCTGTTCTTGCAGAATGTGTCAGCAGGTGTTTGTGTGTGTGTGTTTGCAGGTGCGCAGTGCTAACTATGAAGCAGACCCGTTTGTGCAGGAGTTCCAGTTTAAGGTGCGAGACGAGATGGCCCACGTGACGGGGCGTGTGTTGCCTGCGCCCATGCTGCAGTACGGGGGCAGGGTGAGCACAGAGCACTTTATGGTACCCTTCCTTTCAATCACCCACATCTCTCTGTGTCTGTCTGTCTGAATGAATGAGTGAACGACTCGTCTGGAGGAACTAACAGCTCTTAACTGCTGCTGCAGTGTTGCGTGTGTGGAATAACTCCTAAAATAAACTAGTTTGCAGTGATTTTACTCCAGTTATGCACTTGTATGCACAATTTTAAAATTAAAGGATGTTTATAATCTTAGAGTTAGGCTGTCTGTGTAGTCTGAGATTGAGTTATGGTTTTGTGTGATTTAGTCCGTTACATTTACATGCTTTTTAAATTACAGGATGAAGGCAGTCGTAACACTTTTATACTATATTAAAAGTTATGCATTTAGCAGATATATAGCAGATATGTACTATGTATTGCATTAAAGGTATACATTTTATAGGAGTGTGCTTAGCCATAAAACTTACTCTGTCATATAAAGGCGCAATCAATTAGGGGTCGACTGATTATCGGCACCGATATTAAGCATTTTTATGATTATCGGTCATTTTCAAAACAGATTCGCTGATAAAAATAACTTAATTTTGAAACGCGCTATTTGGCTCTGATGCAGCCTGTCAGAACTCACCATTCTGTGGCCTAAAACAATCTCCACACACCGCCCATCTGATTTGCTGGGAGTCACGAGTCCGACTAATCAATGCGGAATTCACTCTCACTCCGAAAGCGCTTGCTAACTGGAGCTGCTTCAGTGATCACGCATCAGTTGTCTCTCAAAGGTAAGGCAGCAGCAGACGTTGCTTAAGTTGCAATAAATCACAATCCACTAACATTACACTGAAGTTGCAAAACACCTCAATATTATCTATGATTTCCGCGATGCGCAAAACACGGACGGAATCGCGGAATCCAGTCATATAAATGGAATTTACTGTATGGCGCGGAATGTCACGGAATTTGACAAAGTGTGGATGAATTAATCAAAAGTAGGTCAGTACACTTAAATAGTCGCAATATGGACTAGTATCTGTAACTATTAAGCCACGAAAATACTATTTAAATATGAATCCAGCATGTTCTGTTTGTCTCTGTATGTAAATGGCACAGATGCGCGGTTTTGTTTTCTACACATACAAAGTGTGCGACGCTCGCAGTGATTTATGCCTCTGTCGTCTTACTACATGAGGACATAAATACATGAACACAATATCTCCAGAACTGCTCTGACTCCCTCTTAGTCACTTCATGAGCATTTGACAGTTTCATTGGAGTAAAACTATCTTCATATCATTTACATAGACCTACAGAAACAAGTTCCTCATGGCAACCCATCAAAATATAAATTCGGGTTAGCTTAAAGAAATTATCAGAAATATATTACTGTGGTGCATTATGATATACATAATACTGCTCAGGGATGAAAGTTTTCTGTCGCTACGACGGATTTTCGTCAATTGGAAAAAATAAGGGGAAAAGAAACATGTAGCGCATTGTTGTTGTTCTGCCGGCACACCAAAAATCATCCCCACCACAGCTGCAGCTTCTCACTGACAACATAACGCCGCTGGCATCATTCACAGTCGGGTTATTAGCAGAGAACACAGTGCAGAACTTGAATTTTGGTGCGGGATTACGGCTATTAATAATAATTCTACTCATTCCCGCAGGTTCCGCACTTATAACGCGATGACAGATGACGAAACTTATCATTTGCACATGCTTTTGAGTCTTGAGAACTCAATCGCTCGCTCTAATTTTCTGTGCACCCACAGATCGCGATAAGGAGGGTGACCGCTTATAATTATTAAAGGAGTTTGCAAATGTGATATTGATTTAGTACAACAGTTCAATAAACAAATACTGCCTGATTTTGCTCTATTTCATCAACGAAAATAGTTCCAAATAAAGTAACAGCTCAGCCGCTGCGCATCTCTAAAAGCAAAAACAGTGGTGTTTCATTCATGAATGAAAGTGCGTTTTTGAACGAATCTAGTGTGTCAGTGATTCATGATTACCCATTCATAAAGACAGTCACTTGCTTCATTACTGAATGAATCAGCCGTTCAAACGAATCAATTGAATGAATGATTCAGTGATAAAAATCAGTGACTTGCCTCCACCTGCTGGCGGTTTCACTTTAATTTTTAGCTATAATTTCAGTTAAATTTAATATTTATGTATTCAAAATTTTATATTCAAACATTAATCACATTAATTTATGAATTTAATTGCACTCATGCCACCTCTGAGCCTCATTGAACGTCTGACCTACAAGCCACTTTTGTGTTCTTCTGTGCACCCTCTGTAGTACAAATACATTTTTCATTAATACTAATTTCATATGATTGGTAACTTATTTGTCTTATTCTACTTCTTATTATATTGTTTTAAATAGACATTTTAAAAAGCTCATAAACATAATTTTTTTAATTTGACACATGAAAATGATGCCGTTACAAAGGTAAAAAGAAAATACCCCTGTAAATCACTTCACCTCATATTAGGAAGGCTAATTTTTTGTCAGAATTTTTGATTATTGTTCAGGAGGTGCTCCTTAATTTTTTTTAATTAGGAGGACAAGCGCTCCTGTTTACAAAAAGAAAAACACTGCTCTTGAACTGGGTGTGTGACGGGTATGGCTGTGGAATGGGGTTTGGCCAAGTACTAACCCGACTACTACAACAATTATTACAACTTTTTCTAAAAAGAATAATCACACAATACGCTATTTCTTCCATGTTTTAATTTTAATGGTAAACCCTTTGTTTGCCAAAAAATAAAGAGTAAAGGCCCGTTCACACCAAGCACGATAACTATAAAGATAACGATAACGATATAGTTCTAAAAATCGTTCTCAATATTAAAGAATAGCATAGTTCACATCACAACTATAAGATATAGAGAAAGATAACGATAATGATACAGAGGAACGATATCGTTGTGATCACTTTCAAAACGATTTTTTCCCAGCTGATGAACGATAAAACACTGACAGCCAATCAGAATCCATCGTGCTGTAACGAGCTCAAGAATTTAAAGCGGCAGACACGTGTGCGCTTAGAATAAACGGACGATATCGTTCGCTGGTGTGGACGCTAATATCATTATCTTTATAGTTATTTATATTATTTAAAATAAAGAGTTTACTGTGGGAGTACTACACTCAACCAACACCAGGGAAGGCAGTTTTTGTCAGAGCCCTTGTTATTCTTAATTTTGACATTCATTTTCATTTTTACACCAGACATGTATCGGTTCAAAATATAGGTTATCGGTCTACTTGATCTGCAATAATCGGTATCGGTATCGGCCCTGAAAAACAAATATCGGTCGACCCCTACAATCAATATAACATCATTTATTTTAATATATCGCTGTTTTACTCAGCATTTTTAATGTTAACTATAATTCATTTATATATTATAGACATCAGTGTTATTTTAGTTATTATATAGTTATAAATATATGTTTTATATTGTAATATTATATAATATAGTTATCTATAGTTATATATTATTATAGTTTTCCCTAATATTTTGATTATTTTTGTTTTCTGTTTTTGTTTTAATTTTAGTTATAGTAATCTGTGTTTTTGTTTATGCTTATATAATTTTTGTTAATTTAAATTATTATTTTTTCAGTTAAAGTTTATTTCAATTAACAAAAGTTTTTATTTTTATTTTTATGATTTTGGTTTAACTATAATAACCCTATTATGTATTTATAATAATTTATAATAATTTTATGTTGCAGTTTTTACAGTTTTAGTGACCCTTTCCTGAGCTACGGATGTAATGTATTAGAATTTACAATTTTATAATATTTTAGCAACTTGTGCACTAAATTCAGTAGGCACAGATTTCTAAAACAGTCTACAAATCTTTGGGTGGAGTTTATGACTGAGCGATTCTTATAAATATTGTTTTTAAGTGTTATTTAAGTGTTAATGTATAATGATATAAAATGAGTATAAATGTGTTGTGTATATAATATATACAATATTTGATGTTTACGTAATTGTGAGCACAGATTATTTGATTTTAAATAAATATAGAAATCTAGTAACTATGCTAGTTTAGGATTATGATTTTAATGTTATAAGTGCCTCTGTTCTTGTTTTGTGGAATGTACTTGTACAGTTCTTTGAGTTTAGTCACTGAGGAGCTTCATGAGTTCCGCTCGTGTTGAGTGTCAGCTGTGTTTGTGCTCTCACACGTCCCGTGCAGCAGATCAACCCTGAGCTGTCGTTACAGAACCGCACTGTGGCCACACCCAGCCATGGAGTTTGGGACATGAGAGGGAAACAGTTCCACACTGGCGTGGAGATCAAGATGTGGGCCATCGCCTGCTTCGCCACGCAGAGACAGTGCAGAGAAGAGATTCTCAAGTAAGACTCCACACCATACTGACTTTCAGTACTGGTTTACGTCCTGCTTAAAAGTATCAGGACATCACAATTTGGGGGGAAAAAGTCTATTTGCAATTTCTTATACCGCATTTTAAAATAACAAAAAAATCCAGGTTTGCTGTGCTTGTTTGTAGGGGTGCATAATTTGGCCAAAATTTTGTACAAATATCATAAATAAACATTAGCATGGCTATGAAATATTATTATCATTAATACTAAGAAAAGTAGTAAAATAATACAAATAATATACTATTTATTAATATAATATACTAAATAAAAAAATACTTTCGTAAGCAAAAAATATAATAATAACAGTAATAATAGGAATGATGATAAATAATAAAAATGTCAAAATGTAAACAAAAATAAGAAATGTTACTATTGTAATACTTCACTGTAAAATTAAAATGTAAGTAAAGAAAAATATAAATAATAATATTATTATATTATATAATATAAAATATGACAATTTATTACACGTTATACAAAAGTAAAATACTAAATATATATTAAAACTTACTAAAAAAACAAATGAGAAATGTTACTACTGTAATATTTCGCTGTACAATAAATAAGTTGAGTATTTAAGAAAAATAATATAATAGAAAATAATAATAAAATAACTGAATAAAAAAATATTCAAATATATACTAAATAAATAACAAGTAAAAATATTTCACTGTAAAATAAAAAATGAGTATTCAGAAAAATATAATACATTTTATTTTAATTGTTTTGTTACAACTGTAAAATTACAATGCTGATCTAATTTTCAAACGGTAAACCACCAAACGTTATCTTGATGCAAAACCGCAGGGAGATAAGAGCACAATACTGTGCTTCTCTCCGAAACACGCAGTGCATATATTTATTTAATTAAATTGCAGCCTTTGTAAATTGATAATCGCAATAAGCAATATTGCAGCTTCCATTTTATTTTGACTAATCGTGCAGCCCTAATCACCCGTGCAGTACTTTCCATGCTTATAAGTTTCTGAATTGTGTTTCTCCCTACAGGGGTTTCACCGACCAGCTGCGCAAGATCTCAAAGGACGCTGGGATGCCGATCCAGGGTCAGCCGTGTTTCTGTAAGTACGCACAGGGAGCCGACAGCGTGGAGCCCATGTTCAGACACCTGAAGAACACCTACTCTGGACTGCAGCTCATCATCGTCATCCTGCCCGGGAAAACACCCGTCTACGGTAAGAACGGCGCACACAGAGCAGAGCCGCCCTCCTGCCAAACGCCCTCAGACTAATGAACACACGTTTGATCTGTGCAGCGGAGGTGAAGCGTGTGGGAGACACTCTTCTAGGAATGGCCACTCAGTGTGTTCAGGTGAAGAATGTGGTGAAGACCTCCCCTCAGACGCTCTCCAACCTCTGCCTCAAAATCAACGTCAAACTCGGCGGCATCAACAACATCCTGGTGCCGCATCAACGGTTTGTAACTGCTTTCCCCGCCTTAGTTTGATTGACAGAACATAAACAGCTCTGCTTATTTGCTGTTTTTAAACAGCCGCTGATAACAATGATCATTATTATTTATTGCATGGATTCCCAAACTTTTTGTTAGCTGAGCCCCTCAGACATTAAAACTCAGGAGGACTTCAAGTAAATATTTAACGACATATTCACGATTCTCTGATGATGGTTGCTGATCAAATGACATGCAAGTTAACAGATAAATATTTAATCTTTATAGCAAGTGTTTTTGATTGTTTTTATTTTAATATTATTTCTATATAGGGATGCATGACTTGGTAAAGAAAAAGGATGATTATTATTTTTTTGTGTCAAATATTGCAAAACAACATATAATAATTATTATTATTATTTATTGTTGTTGTTATTAAATAGTAGTTTTAATTATAAAAATGAAGGCAAAAATACAAACGGTTACATTTGCAGTTGTGCTGTAAAATAAATATTTGATCATTTTGATAATTATAATAATTAATTTTAGACTACACGTTAAATTCTCTAGCTTTTATTTTGGTGAAATACTGGTTATTGTTGTTGTTGTTGTTGTTGTTGTTGTTGTTATTATATAGTAGCCTTATAAAAATGAAGACAGAAATATTGGCTATTACTGTTACTTTATACTAAGTTAAAATACGAATATTTATGTCTTAAATTCTTAACTTTCAAATGTTAAAACTCGAGAGCTTTTAACATTTCAAATCATCTAGCTTTTATTTGAGTGGAATACTGGTTGTTATTATTATTATTGTAGCTTTAACTCCGTAAAAATAAAGAAATTTAAACTATTACCTGTTAAAATAAAGATGAATATTTGATAATATAATAGTTTCATTTTAGACTACAAGTTAAATACTAATATTTATGTCTTAAAGTTCTTAACTTCCAAATGTTCAAACCCTTAAGCTTCTAACATTTCAAAGCCTTTAGATTTTATTTTGGCGGAATACTGGCTTAATTTTACATTCAATTTAATTAATTATTTGCTTTTCATCAAATCATGAACTCTGATTTATTCACTATACTACAAACAAAGCTAATTTTGTGTGTTTGTGTGTGCTGTTTCTCAGGCCGTCAGTGTTTCAGCAGCCAGTGATCTTTCTGGGGGCGGATGTGACGCATCCACCTGCAGGAGACGGGAAGAAACCCTCCATTGCAGCGGTCAGTATAGCTTAGCACTGGATGATATAATTAATATACTATGTATATATTATAATAACTTCCTGTGTGTGTGTATAGGTGGTGGGCAGTATGGACGCTCATCCTAGCAGGTACTGCGCCACAGTGCGTGTCCAGAGACCCAGACAGGAAGTGATTCAAGACTTGGCCTCTATGGTGCGAGAGTTACTCATTCAGTTCTACAAGTCCACTCGCTACAAACCCACCAGAATCATCTTCTACAGGGACGGCGTGTCTGAGGGCCAGTTTAGACAGGTATATATTGTTTTATCACTAACAGCATAATTTCCGTTCAATTTAAAAATAAGCCGTGAACCTGTTTTTGCTCGCAGGTGTTGTATTATGAGCTGCTGGCCATTCGAGAGGCCTGTATCAGTCTGGAGAAGGACTACCAGCCCGGCATCACGTACATAGTGGTGCAGAAACGCCACCACACGCGTCTCTTCTGTGCTGATCGCAATGAGAGGGTGAGCGTGCATCCTGACGCTCCTGCAGGCGTTTAAGGGCCTATGGAGAGCCAGATTCATTTCAAGTTATTATGAAAGAATGCTTATGAATGTGAGACTTCAGATGCATTGTGACAAAACAGTGAACGATGTGTGACAGGACTTTCACTGAATGTTAATGCCCCTAACAGCTGCCAAAAAGTGCCCATAAAACTTACTTTCTACTTGCTAGTGCTATTTTGCTAGTGCTATTTTAGTATTATTTATATGGTATTTATTAATATTTTGAGTTACCATTTATTTTATGTATTCAGATTTCATCCATTTTAGTTCATTAGAGTTTTAGTAATTTTGTGTGCTTTTCTCATTTTTATTAGTGTTTTCAGGGTTATTTTAATATCATTGAAAGATTATTATAGTTTTTATTAATATTTTGAATGTTTTTTTTATATATAAATTCTGTTTTTGTTTTAACTTTGGTGATAGTTTTAGTGTTTTTGTTGTTTGTTTTTGTTTTAAATATGTAGAGTTTTTATTTTTTATTTCAGTTTTAAACTAAGTGAAAATGAGAAATGATGCTTGGCGATTAGCTAAAATAAAACAAGTTATGTTATTTTTATTATATTTTTATAGGTTAATCTTTATTTTAAAGTAACAAACTTCTTTTTAGTTTTAGTCAACTACAGTAAACTTATGTTATTTTTGTATTAAGTTTTTAATCTAATATATATATTTTAACCTTATTTCACTTTATTTCAGCTGTTTCAATTAACAAAAACAACTAGTAGTTTTAGTTAATCATAACACTTGTTTTATAGAAGTAGAAGGACACAAAGTGTCCGATGGTGCTTTTTTAAATAGCATTTTTAAAACCGTTCATTTTGATACGCTATTAAAACAGTGCTTTTATCAACTCCAGTATAAAGTTAATTTATCTGTCAAATACTCAAGGTACTTGATCTAAAACGCCCATCCCGAGTTAATAGTTATATATTGAAGTAAGCAGGAAACCTAGGTCAGATAAAGGAGAGTTTATTAAACACTCTGTTATGTCTGCAGACTATGAGACAAACCCGAAGGCTGCACATTTATTGGAAACATAATTTTTTGGTGTTGATTGCTTTTTTTTAAATGACTGTTTCTTTCCTGCACAGGTGGGTCGCAGCGGAAACATTCCTGCTGGTACAACAGTCGACACGGATATCACACACCCCTACGAGTTTGACTTTTACCTCTGCAGTCATGCTGGAATACAGGTACAGACAAGCACATTTTCACGGCCAGAAATGTCACTTCCTCCTGCCTTTTAAGCTGCCCGCTGGTCCAGTGCTGTGTGTAAAATGACCCCTTGTTCACTTGACAAATGATTTTGCACGCAGATTTGGATTTAGCAGCATGAATAACTGTTATGTAATCCAGTCCGAGTATAAAAGGGTGAATGTCAGCAAATTACTCCAAAAAACTCAAAAGAAAATGTCTGATCAAATTAAAATAATATTACATTTAAGCTTTTATGTTTTATGTGCTTTTGTCATTTTTATTAGTTTTTGCATTAATTTAGTATAATAATTTCAGTGTTAATTTAGTATAATTGAGAGGCTATTGTAGTTTTTATTAATATTTTAAATTAGAACATAATAGATTATAATATTTTTTAATTTAGGTAGAAGCTAATTTCTGCCATGGAAGAAAAAAAAAAAGGTAATCGTGATTTTTTTTTAACGAGGGATTATTATTATTATTTTTTTGTTATTGAGTTTTTTTTTTTTATTCACAATTGACTACATTATGAGATGTAAACTCGCATTTCTGAGGAAAAAGGGAGCTGTAAGAGATAAGCTCAGAATTGTAATGGAAAAAGTCCAGAATTGAGAAAAAAAACTGCAATTACCTTTTTTTATTTTTTAAAAAGGTATGCCTTTTTTCGTGCAGTTCGTGCAGACTTTTCTTAGACAAAATGTTAGTGCAAAAATAATCATTAAAAATATCAAATATATTTTATAATTTTTTTTTGCAAAATATAATAATTTTATTATTGTCTTTAAGAAAATGTATTAAATATATCTTTAATAAAAAAAATACATTTCTTTTATAATTTCTTTTTCAATGTGAACTTGGTCGTGTTTTTGTGAGAGTCACTCAAAAACATCCTAGTGCAACAGCCCTGTCAGTTGAATGAAAATACAGTATTGTAGAAGATGTTTTTGAAGGCGTAACTTGAGCATTTGGCATGAGTTTGACTCCTCTTCCTCTTTTCTCAGGGCACTAGCCGACCCTCCCACTACCATGTCCTGTGGGACGACAACTGCTTCACTGCTGATGAGTTCCAGCTGCTCACTTACCAGTTGTGCCACACGTACGTGCGCTGCACCCGCTCCGTCTCCATCCCCGCGCCAGCCTACTACGCCCACCTGGTGGCCTTCCGTGCGCGATACCACTTGGTGGACAAAGAACACGACAGGTGTGTGTGCCAAGACCCAAATCTGTGCCATTGCCCTAGAATAGCACTGTTACTGGTGATGCAGCTAAAACAGTTATGTATTGTTAGGAGAATCAGACCGCTAATTGTTTGTTCCCGGCATGCTTTGCATTGGGCTGGATTAGGAGAGTAAATGTTGAAATTAAGCATTATTTTATGTATTTTTGAGTGAACGAAAAGACCTGTTAATGTGTAATGTTCAGTTATGTTGAAAAAGAGTTTCTGTTATGTTGAAGTTTTGTGGTTACCATTGTTAATTGAATTAAATATTAAAATTGAGATGATATAACAAAGTATGTTATTAATTGACTGCAATCAACTACAACTAAATTCTAATAAAAAACTGTTATTTTAGAATCATTGAGATAACGTTATTTTAAAAAAAATGGAATCTGTTTATATTTTTAATTTTAAAGTTTTAGCATTTTTGTTGTTTTGTCATTTTCAGTAGTTTTTGTTTTTTATATATTTCTATATATTTTCATAGAAATTTTTATTTCAGTATTATTTTAGTACATTAAGCTAGGTTAAATTAAAATGAGAAATGTTGCCTTGTCAACTAGCTGAAATAAAAAGTTTATTTTACATCAAGTAATTACATTTTTTTTTTTATGGTTTAATTTTAATTTCAGTTGTAGTTAACTCTAATAACCCTAGTTTAAAATTAAGATAACTTTAGTTTTGTGTAAGCACTTGTCTTAAAACATTTTAATATAATCAAAAAGCCATTTTTGTCCTAAATTGCAAATTACGCAGGATCGCAAATAATGCAATATTCCACTGTTTTTCTGTTGTGTTCTGTGATGGCTTAAAGGGGTCATATGATGTTGCTAAAAAGAACATTATTTAGTGTATTTGGTGTAATGAAATGTGTTTAAGGTTCAAAAAACGCATTATTTTCCACATACTGTACATTATTGTTTCTCCTCTATGCCCCGCCTTTCTGAAACGTGTCAATTTTTACAAAGCGGTCTGAAAAGCGAGGTGTGCTCTGATTGGCCAGCTATCCAGTGCGTTGTGATTGACCGAATACCTCAAGCGTGAGACGGAAATGTTACGCATTACGCACTGTAATGATGCCCTGTCCGGCCGGAGCGACGAGACAAAAACATTAAAACCCATTATAAACGAGGCATTTGTTGCATCCAGTGGGGATATAATTACTGATTATAATGACTTATACTGTCTTTTTACGCGTTGCATTGCATTTTAGTAACTTTGTGTTTTGTCATTTTTATTAGTTTGTTATTAAAAATGTTTTGTTTTAGGTATTTTAGTTCATCAAGTTAAACTAAATAATTTTAAATAAATTTAACTGAAATTAAAAAAAAGTTTAATTCATTTTTTTAATATTTGATTTCATTTCAGTGAACATTTATTTTATTTCAATGTTTTTTTTATGGATTTAGTCAATTCTAATATCTCTGCTCCCTCTTTTCTCTCTTAGTGCCGAGGGCAGCCACGTCTCGGGGCAGAGTAACGGTCGGGATCCCCAGGCGCTGGCCAAAGCTGTGCAGATTCACCATGACACACTGAGGACCATGTACTTTGCCTAAGCCAGCTCACATCCATCCCACCTTCGACTAGTCACGAACCCGACAACCGCATACACATGCCGTCACACCTCCCAAAAGCAAGTGCATCCTGAAGGGTCGATCTCTGTGATGAGATCGGTGATGGAAGCGCGGCCAGCCCCGACACTGTGCAGCAGGATGAGGAAGGCCTGCTTTAATTCCACACGTGGACCTCAGCACTATTATGCAATATTAAACCAGCCAACTGAGGCCGTTCTGTCATATCCCCTCCAAAACCCAAACCAAAAGGGAAGCCCGTCTATGTCCCCGCTCCTCTTCCTGTCTGTAGACGTAACGTTTAATTACTTTCCCTGCCTGTCACACCTTGTACCTCAACGTTTTCTAACAGCACTTTTTCCCCTTATTGCCCACCCCAAAATGAGATTGGAATGGAAGCGGATGGAAAGACTGAGTCCCGAAGAAAGGAAGTTTTGGGGAACGCCTACGGATAGATGTACTTTTCTCCCGTTCTCAATTATTTTTGTAGCCAATGGTGACTTAACTACGTGTTAAAGTGTCAGTCGTGAAGAACCAATTGTGCGTTAGCGTTTTAAAACAGAAAAACAAGCTTTTATTGTTAGAGAAGTGCCATTGCAGAGCGTAAAGTCCTTTATGACGTACCCCACCGGGGGGCAGAAAGCTGACAGTTTAAATTTTTTAAAGCAAATTTACGCTCTAGCTTTCATGTACTACAATGCAAAGTGATCATGTTTTGATGCTTTTTCTTATTTTTAACACCCAAATTCCCTCCAATATTTCTGTCTCGCAGCTCCTAGCAGATTGTCTTGTTCGCTCCCCTCCTGCACTTTGTCTCGATTTAAAATGCATAGTCCGTGTTATGTGACAGATCATAGTTTAGTGCAATAATCCATTAGCGGGATGAGAATACCTCCTGTGCAAAGACTCCGTATGCGACTGGGGGGGGGGAGGGGGGAGGCATCCGAAAGCACATGATGGGCATTGCGGTTGGTTTTTAGGATGGAGGTGTGCATGTTTGCCACTTTTACGGTTTATTTTTGGTGAAAGAACAGCAGCGTTTCCTGGCGATTGACCGTAGTGAGTTAACAAGTGCCTGCTAGAAATGCATGACGTTGAGAGGTCAGAAACAGAACAAATGCACCTCATTCAGTCTAACCAAGGGCACAGTTGCGACCACATTTGACTGTACGGCCTTAATACAATCTCGCGGTTTCAACGTCTCGATTTTCACTGCCCTGCCTGTTCAAAGAAGTTTGCTGCTATTGTGCTTGTTCAAGTCCGACTGGTGGGTTCATGCTTCAGTTCGCCTAGGCACGAGGGACCGTTTGGCAGCTCTAGGCCACGTGTTCAAGGAGAAGCTCTGGCTGCACCTGATTCGTGCTCGGTCACTGGAGGGCCACTAGGGGTCAGTATAGTGTTTTACTTGAAGGGTGCAGTGAGCGTCGGGTGCCTTACCGTCTCTCCGTGCGCCATCTGAAGCATGTCCCGCTGTTTAAAGGTGATAATCTGCACTAAATAATGCGTAATGCATGGTGCTATTAGGTGCGGCCCATGGCGGCATCAGCAACTGGCAGAAACTTAATGTGTAAGATGGAACATGGGATGCATAAATGGTGCTGGTTGCGTGTATTTCTCTCACTCTGAGGAGAAATTTCTCATTAGGACAGACATTTGGTCGTTTTGTATGTTTGTTTGTTTGTTAGATTTGCATTTGATTTTATTGCAGAGAAAGGTACAGCACAGTGGCCAGTCAGAATACGATTACGGCCAATTGCACGAAGCACTATAAAGCGGAAGATTTTAATGCGTAACTTTTTTTTAAATAACAATTTCAGTCCCTTTAAAATACCGAACTGCAGTTTATGCAATCAGATAAATTCTAAAGTATAATTAATCGAATGAAACTAATGCAGTAGGCTGTTGTGATGGATTTTCTGTTTTTTTTGGTTAAGTGTGCATTAGAGGCTGAACCTATTGAAGAAGGTACACCGTGTTTTATGCCCATCAAAAGTGGTTTAAGTGATGCCGTAAGCATCAAAACAGCAGCTACTGAAATTGTGCCATTTTTTTATTTCACCTTCCCGAATGAAACCGCTTATCGGTGCTTCAGAGCCTTGGAAGTAAAACTGTCTGTGTGTGGATGCCAAACTGCTATCAGTTTCTGAAGCAATCTTAATGAGGTGTCATACAATTTTATTTTTGTGTTGTTTTAACTTCACACACACACACACACACATATATATATATATATGTGTGTGTATATAACTAACCCATGTCTCTTTAAAGGGATAGTTTGGTTATAAATGATTATGAATTTTCATTATTTACCCACTTTAGCCAATGTTGTTTCAAACTTGCATGACTTTTTTTTTTTTGGTGCACATGAGATTTTAGTAAGTAAAAAAAAAAAAAAAAATTGTGAGCTGCTGTTTTCCATGCAACAAAAGTGAACGGATGTCAGTGAATATTAAAGTTAAGTTATGGCTTGAAAGCTTGGAAAATAGATTCATTTTGGAACTTAAAAATCAGTCCATTTTTGTTGCATAAGTCAACGGCAAAAGAAGTCTGCACCGACATGAGGGTGAGAGAACCATTTACACAATTTAAATTTTTTGCCCAACGATTCCTTTAAAGCTGCAACTCGTTTTGCCTCCGTATGAAGATCGTAAAGAGTGTTTGTCTTGTATTCGCAAGTAACTGTGGTAGCAGATGTCGTGGGTTCGTAGCACACTTATCGAGTTCGTTGCCTGATGTGGCTTCCGTTATCCAGAAAGTGTATTTTCTCCTCTCCTCTCGTCTTCTATTTTAGAGCTTTTTGGGAGGGTCTTCTTTTAGGGTCTAAAACCTAACACGAGTTCAAAGTTCATAGAAAGTGCCTTTCCTCATGATGGTGCTGAATAATCTGAGACTAAAGTGAGAAATCAAAGAACATATTAGTCTTACTCTTACCTTGAAGAAGGTGTTGCACACATGCAAACACACATGTTTTTATCTCGATCGAGAGGCTCGTAACGGTGCCTCTTTGTATGTTCAGATATTATAATGACGATGATATATGCCAAGTATAGGTTGAGATACTGTATTAGGAGTCTGGACCAATGCAATGGAAGCGTTCATATAGATGAATGTGCTATCTTTAGATGGGGCAGAGCGGGCACTCGTATGACACAGCCTGACCCTGGACAGGAAAGCCTAGCACAGCACTTTAAAGACTGCCACCCAAACAAGGAAACGAAGTCACAGTGCTTTGCTCTCCTCTTTCTTTTACCCCCCATAAGCTCCTTTTTTTCATGTACTCCAGCAAAAGACGGTCTCTAGTGCTTGAAATCTTTGCTGAGGGAAGGTTAATCATGTTTCGGAGGTTTTTGGACTTCACTATGGCTGCTTTAAAAACTCATTGTTTGTGTTGCAGTGGCTGATCGATCCCTCTCAATGTGCAATGGCCCGTAGAAACCTAGACACGTACAGTATGTGTTTTGACCCCCGTGACCTGTATTTTGTCACATGGGTGCCCGTTGGTCCAGGAGGATATACCTCGACGAGAGATCTCAAAACACTGCACCTCACTTACCTTGGTATGCTGCATATGTTATAGTGAAAGAAACTGCAAATGGGTGAATCTCACTGAAGAACATGTTCACATTTCACGTCAACATCACAAGACGCATTATATTTTGCATACAGAAAAATAAGCTAATTTTTTTACTATTCTTATTTTTTTTTTTTTGTTTTGCTTTGTGACAATTAAATGCATTCCCCTCCCCAAATTCTCATTACTGTAATGCGAAAAATATTATGTATTAATATTAGTTGCATTGCTTTTCATTTATGCTCAATTGATCATTTTTTATAATACATACAGTAAATATCATTCTATCTCCATTGGAAATGACTCAAAATAGCTCAAAACTTCATTTTTCTCATGCAAAATATAATTTCGAGTTGTACTACACTTCAACAAAATGACAGAAATTAGCAATTATATTTTGCATAAAGAAAATAAAGCCTATTTTTTATGACAATTAAACACATCCCCCCCTTCACCAAATTCTCATTATTGTAATGTGGGAAAATGATTCTAATTTTAAAATGGATATATGTTTATACATCACAGTAGTACTGTATTTGTTGCGTTGCCTTTCCTTCATGCTTATTCGTCAATATCTTTCTATCATCATTGAGAATGATGGGAATTACAAAAAAAGCGGAGCTTAATTGTCATGACAGTAATGCAAATAATGCAATAATTGCATTGGTTGTTAAAATAGGCTTTGTTTTTGTCATGCAAAATGTAATTTCTAATGTATTACACAACAACAACACAAGACAGAAATAAGAGGATATTTTGCATCAAGAAAATGAAGCCTATTTTTGGACCATTATTATTCATTTTTTTTTTTTTTAGGCATTGTGACTGTATTTAAATGACATAAATGCATTCCCCCTCTCTAAATTCTCAATATTGTAATGCAAAAAAAATTATTATAACATTAAAATACAGAAACGCTCAAAATTGTAGGGAAAATATGCTTAATTGTCATGAAAATAATGCAAATAAAATATTATTTGTTGAAACGGCTTCATTTTTCTCATGCTAAATATAATTTGATATTTTTCTTTTGATTATGGAGGTGGATATGTTTTACTTGAGATTCGCCCAGATATTACTTTGATTACAGTATAATGCTTGACTAATGCCTGACAACAATATCCTTAACAATTCTAGATTAAGAAGTCTAATTGTAAGAGAAAAAAAAAAGTTGTTTTTAAATCATAACATGTATCTTTTTCTTTTATTGAGCCAATTTTTATTTTGTTGTCCTATTTAAATGTTTTTTTTTTTAATATATTGGAAATATATATGGGAAATATTTAACGGTGTATTTATTGATGGAGTGCTTGCGCGGCTGGAGTCTCCGCAGAGTTACGGGGTGCGAGTTCAGGGGTCGGGGGTCGAACGGACGCCTTCGACATCCTCACATACACACACACAAGCACAACCACAGAGTGGGCTAAAGTGTTCGATGACATCACTTCCTCCTTGACCTTTGACTAGTTCGAGATCGTCCACCTCTCCAGCGAAGAGGCTCGTCGCATTTCATCTCTTTACGGGACGGAGAACCACACTGACTTTATTCCAAAAAGAAGATAAAAATCTGATTGTTTTCATCCAGAGCTGCTAAACTTAGCCATACACGTTTTTTTTCCCTGGAAGGATGTTTCCGGTGCTTTACAAATGGAGTCGAGAAGCAGGTCATGGTATTTGTCCTTCGTCATTTGCTTGAGTTCAATTGTCTTCGTGCCAGAGAGGGTCCCATTCCACTCAGATACATATAAATATAAGAGCCTCAGCCTTAACTGTACTCTTGTTTTTCCGATTGGACTCGAGACGTCTGTCAAAAGGCCTTCGTTGTGCGTAGAGAAGCAAACTAACTCACTCCCTATGCGGCATCTCGGTTCTCTTTTAAACCACTAACTGTCGCGAAACGCTTGGAGATTCGGAGACGAGGCCGCTGTCTGTATTTCAAGCGGTCATGTCGTCGTTTTCCAGGAGGACAGAGGCATCGAGCGCCGGATGAAGTTGCACCCAAATCGCTGACCGAGTCGATTCCTAAAAATGTTTACAAAACGGTTTACTGCAACGCAACGCTCCAGCATTCCACAAACAGGACTGTGAAGCATCCGATGCAAACGTACGGCGAGTCTGTCCATCCTCCGTTTCTGTCGCTCACGTCTCGCATCTCTTGGTACCGGAGGACAGCTTCCATCGCACGATCGTTGCTTACGAAAGAGCCAAAGTTGAGCCGCCGCTAGTCGGGATCTCCGTGTTCGCGAAGAGTCTCTCCAATGTATCAAGGGATGTTTCTTTTCCTTTGAAATGTCTTTGTTTGTTTAATAATACTCTCTTTGTAGATCAATGGCCTTTTAGTGTTGCTTTGCTTCAGTTTGGAGTGTATCTTTCACTAATACTTGCAATAAAAAGCTTTGCTTTTGAATCGCAGACCTGGCATCTATTGGCTCTGTGCGTTTCATCGGTCGCACTGCTGATTAAATCACAGCATTGATTTTGTGTCATGGTTTGGATGTAATATATGTCGACGTACGGTTATGAGCTACACCCTCTTCTACATCTACAGAACGGGGCAAATGAAACACTTAACACACATTAAGGCAAGAATTTCATGATGTCCACTTAATATTAGATTTAAAAATGACAGTTTTGCGTTTGTTTCTTAATGTAATTGAGTGTAAAATGTCTTCGCTCTTGGCTGTCTGATCAAATAATGGCTGTTTAGAACAGAGGACTAGCGCACTGCACAGTACACACTACATTCTGGCTTTTTTTAGTAAACAATGCGGCAAAAGCTTTAAAAAAAATATTGTCACTTGACTTCAACTTTGTTTAATTCAGTGAGTGCCACCCAGTTATTTATTTTTTATTTGGATAGTTATTAATTCTATCCAATTTTGTGTTTATGACATTTAATCTTTTGACAGTCACATCAAATAATGAATCAATTATGCATTAAAACTGCGAGGTCAGGTCAAATGCACTGCATTGTGGAATACATTAAATAATCAGTGCATATAATAGCCAGTGTTATTTTAGTATTATTTTGAATTATTTTTTTATTTTATATTTTCAGTTTTCATTTTAATTTGTTTCTTTTGAAAAGTTTTAGTAATTTTGTTTGTGTGTGTTTATATATATATATATATATATATATATATATATATATATACAG